CTTAATTTCTACATAGACACTCACTTCTTCCTTTGTTTCTAACTAACTGCTCCATATTAGGCATTGCTTTCCAGTTCCACACTCTAGCCTGTGTGTGTGCATATGGTTTTACCTTTGAAGTTTTCTCCTCTTCCTGGCTTCAGATCTAATCTCTGTTTACTAACCATAGTGTCCCAGTGAACCCTAATTTCCCTGGGCTCATCAGCCAGGTGGTGATAGTAAAGTAACTGTGGACTCTCTTCGCCAAAGCTGTAAATCTAATGAGATTCAGTGATTTAGTGAACAAGTCCCTTTGATGTTAAACAGTGCTCCAGTTGGCGAAACACAGTAAATACTGACCAGTGATTCAGTGAACACATAGGGTGATATGTAACTATGTAATCATAACTGTGAAATAAAACTATATAGACTTATGTGTGCTATAATCTAAAAAACCTTAACTAATCCTAGTCATATCTACTTAAAAATAAAAATCACCCTAACATGTAGAACTACTCTTTCTTTCTCATACACACAGAGACACAAACAGCTACACACCCACACACACACACACACACACACACACAACCCTACTTGTTTTACCTACTGTACTTTGTGGAGACCAATCAGAAAATGTTCACATCTTAAGTTCAGTATATTTTCAGCTAGAAAAGCCATTTTGGTATCAAAATGTTCAGCTTTTTCAGGACATTATGGCATGTATTCAACCTTTTTACAACTTTCATACTTTTTAAAATATTTAGTTTTATTCTGAAAATCTTACCCCATTCAAAGGAATGGGAAAATTCTACTTCAGCATACTTTCAGCTATTTCGGGTATCAAAATGTTTAGCTCTTCAAGGACATTGATGCTTCTACTCAATTTTTCTAAATCTCATACCTTTGAAATATTTAGCTTTATTTTGAAAGTTTTGCCCCATTCAAATGAATGGAAAAATTCTACTTCAGCATACCTTCAGCTATCAAAATGTTGAACTTCTCAAGGACATCCATGTTTCTATGCAGAATTTTTCTAAACTTCATACTTTTGAAATATTTTGCATTATTTCTGTTTCCTGTGTCTCGCTTCAGGGGCTACATCAGGTCACATTGTGCAGACGCAGGCGACATCATTTCTTTAAGCCCCACTCGTGGCATTATTTAGAAGACGAGAACAAACAAGACTAAGTCTGACACAGAGAAAGGGACTGATGGCTGGCCAGCTGGGGTTTGTCTTTGGGAGAAAAAGAAGAAACAACATTTGGAAAAACTTTCATTACATAGAAGTGGAAAAGAAAACGGAATGTGTTGTGGAAAAAACATGGGGAGAAATGCAGCCACAAAATCACAGGAAAAAACACCACAAACCTTAAGAGACATCTTAAGGCATTCCATAATCACATTGAGGTAAGTCAAGACATTAACGTAACATTACTTTCTATTTTGGAAAGCTCATGCCAACTCATGAGGCCAAATACTGTAGCTAGTTTTGTCATTCACATTTGTCAGTCACATTGAACTGAATTTGGCATAAACAACATGACTTTGAATACCTTATTCTAGACCAATATATACATTTAAACAAATGGTATTGGCATTAACATGCCTGCCAAGACTACTGCTTAGACTACTTCTATTTTGATTATGTAGACTTTTACGGACAGTCCATTCACTCACTCAGAGTTTGACTTACTATGGTAAAAATCATAGCAAGGATTTATGCTACTTAATATTTACAACAGTTAGATTTTCCAGAGGCTGCATCTGTCCTGATATTGTATCTATTCTTGTGCTAGATTCCAGAAATAGCACCAGTGAAGCAAGTCCCACCCAAGAAGATGGACAAGCTAAGTAGTGCTCAGGATTTCTGTGCCACAAAGAGGTACGACAACTCCCCAGAGCAATGTACCAAAAGGAGGGGATAGCACAGTGGATAGGCCACACACGGCTCCCAGCATGAATTGTTGAAGATGAGGAGTTCATCGCCATGATGGCAAAAATAGACAAAAAGTTCAAAGTGCCAAAAAAATATAACATTTTAAACTTGATTGACAAAATGTACAAAGAAGAGAAAGAAGAGATCAAACAAAACCTGGCCACTGCATGCAGAATAACTACAGGGTTGGATATTTGGACTAACCGCATCCTACCTGGGAGTCAGCGGCTGATACTTCAACCCTGAGGACAACACGGCTGAATACAAACTCCTGAACCTGAAGGAGATGGTTCACCCTCACACCACAGTCGATTAGTACACTTGTGGAGGAGTCAATGGAAAAATGGGGGATCCCCAGAGAGGAGGTCCTCACAATGATTACTGACAATGGCAGCAATATGGTGGCTGCATTCCACACACATGCAGAAGTTGCCACAACTTCTGAAGAGGACTCAGAGGCAGAGCACGACAATGCCAATGATCACTATGAGCATCAGGAAGAGGAGGATGACAGGTAAGGTAGGTCTGTGTATGAAACTATGCTATTATTTCACAATCAGCTTTATTGGCCAGGTTTGCATATACAGTGGAACCTCGGTTTTCATGATTAATCCGTTCAAAAAAGTCTGACGAAAACCAAATTGTACAAAAACAAGCAATATTTCTCATAAGAAATAATGTAAATCCAATTAATCCGTTCCAGACACCCAACAATATTAACAAAAAATACATTTTATAGAGAATAACTATATTTTTACATACAGAAAACAATGAGAAATAAATATAAATGACTAATGAAATAGATAAATGAACTTTAACATCACTTTTACCTTTATTGAAGACTCTTGTTGGCATATGGAAGATGGCAAGGAGGGGAGAGGGAGGAGGAGAGGTTATTGTTTGGAAGGGGAATCCCCCTCCATAAGGACTTCATGTATCAAGGCCCTATCTGGGGTTACTTCCCTTCACTCATTTCTTCCGGGAAATGAGTGGCCGAGTCACGTGGGCAGGCGGACGAGTTTGGTATGGACTAATGACGCTGAACCGAGCAATCAACTGTACGAAAACCGAGCGGATGTATGAAAACTGCGACAAAATTTTGATGAAAAAAGTCGTCGAAAACCGAATCATATGAAAAGTAGGGCATAGGAAAACCGAGGTTCCACTGTACAAACAAGGAATTTGAACTCCGGTTAGTCTTTGCTCACAAAGTACCCAACAAACACTTTACATATAAAGAGTAAGAAACATAAAAAATACTATATACAATATAAACCATTCAACACTTATGTAACTGGTCAATGATTTAATTTCATATATATAAAGACTAAATAAGTTCATAGGAACTTAAGTACTTGAACTATTTCATTTGGTTCAATAATGTAAGGGCTAAAATGGTTAAATATGTACATTTGTTTTTTTTTTTTTTATTTCCATGTAGATACGACTACAGAGTCATAGTGAGGACCCCATGCGTGGTTCACACTGTACAGCTTGTAGTGAATATGGTCCAGAAGGAACCCCCAATCTGAAGGCGGTTGGAGAAAGTGAGGCACTTGGTGAACAAATTTAGGAAGTCATCTGTCGCCACAGAGGGGCTGCTGCAGAAGTGTGCTCTGATCCTGGTAAAAGACTGTCCCGCTAGGTGGTCAAGTTGCTTTGCTATGATTTCACACTGGCTTGAAGTCAAGGAGCACCTCACAGCTGTGGCCGAGTCCATGGGCTGGGACAGCCTGCAGCCCAGTGAGTGGCAGAAGATCGGGATGCTGAGAGACCTTCTTCTGCCATTTGCAGAGCACACCAAGTCGCTTGAAAGTGACACCCAATCACTTTCCCTTGTTGTGCCAGCACTCCTGGATCTCAAAAACCACCTGTCGGAGTTCTCGCTTGCACATAGGCGATGCAGCTACTCTGGCTTAGAAGACACTGTCCAGCATGGATAGGCTCTTTAGTGCATTTCTTGACATAACAGCTGACAACTTCTCACCACTTCCTGCAGCAGCATGCTTTGTGGACCCTTGTGTAGCTGAAACATTCTGGAAAATGGTTGGGAAGATCTGTGCCAGGCACCAGAGAAAAGAAAATCTGATGTCAAAAACATAGCCAAAGAGTAATGTGTACTGGACAGTTTTGTTTTTTTTGTTGTTTGTGACAACCAGTCTTAAAATAACACATCAAGGAGATTACAGTTTATGTAGTTGCTGTTGAGACTTTTAAGTTCATGTGAGCTGGACAATGATCTTATATAATTTGGCCAAGCTGTTTCCTGCTTTTGGGCACATCCAGGGTGCTGCCTCCTAAAAGTGGAGACAGAAAGCTAAGTTTGGAAATTGACCTAATAGCTTAAGAAAGCTGTGGATAAAAAGAGTTATGCTGAACACCCCCTTTATAGGCAGCTTCCTCCCAGTGGAAGGAAGGTGCCTTTGTCCCACTGGTGTCAGCCCTTATTTGTCAGTTCAGACAAAAAAATTGTGATCATCTAATTACAGTATATTTTATACCATCAAATCTTTCACATCACTGCTCCATCAGATCATGTTGCTCAAAGGTCATCAATTTTCCCATTTTACAGGGATTTAGTTGTGACCTTTAGATTAATTTGCCATGGTCTTGGTCTGACAGCGTCTCAAGCATTATATTAACAACTGTCAGATAACAGCGACTACTGTAACCCACTGTCTTCTGCTGCATCCTTCAGCCTTGAAAACCTGTGTCTCTGTCAGCCTTTTGTCTCTTGTATTGTTATGACCACACCCTGAGAAAAATACATTAAGGAAAACTGAGTGAGTCAGTGAAGGACTGGACTTATGTCATGTCCCTCTGTGCCCAGTCTGTGTTTGTGGCTGCTCTCAGTGCAACAACAAAACAGGATGAGAGTCCAGGAACTGCGTCAGTTTGGGTTACACTGGGAGAGCTCTCAGTGAATAACTGTGGCACCATCAGTTATGAACATGGACATGTAGGAGCTGGGAGCTGAATGTCAGCTTCCACAGTTTATAACCATATTACATTCTTTATTCTCTGCTCAAACACTGTTTAATGTGCTGATTGTTTGACATGAGAAATGTGATGTTGGGTTGTGCAATTTAGTACATGCGAGTATTTTTATCTCTAAATTCTTAATTTATGTTTTGAATTATATGAAGTGTGTTAACTACACTGATTCTTTGGGCCCAATAGTGAATCAGCTATGCTGCTGTGCAGACATGAAGAGCAACAACAGCCTGCCTCCTTCCTATTTTCAGTTCACTGTGTTTGCTGACCTTGGGCCCCTCAGATATCTTTTCTTCAGCCTCTCTCTGTTGATCTACATGACTATAATCTCTGCTAATTTTGTCATTGTTCTGTCAGTCTGCCTGGAGAACTCTCTGCATCAGCCCATGTATATTTTCATCTGCTCTCTGTGTTTAAACTCTCTGTATGGCTCGACCGGCTTCTTCCCTAGGTTCCTGATGGACCTTCTGTCCAACACTAATTTCATTTCACCTCCATTCTGTTTCATTGAGATGTACGTTACTAACACTTATGTAGCAAATGAGGTGCCTCTCCTCACAGTCATGGCCTATGATAGGTTTGTTGCTATTTGCCAGCCTTTACACTATCACAGTAAAATGACATTTAGGACGGTGCTGCTGCTTTTGATTCTTGCTGTGCTGTACCCTGCATGTGGTTTAGGCTACTTTTTCTATCAGGCCATCACTTTGCCTTTGTGTGGAAACAAACTGCAGAGGGTTTTTTGCATCTGCTGGTCTATAATCAATCTCTCCTGTGTCGACACAACTGTGATCAGCACAGCAAGTCAATGTATTGTTGTGACATCAATGTCCATCCCCCTGTTCTTTATCCTGTACACCTACCTGCGCATTCTGCTTGTTTGCAGGAGAAGTTCATCTGAATTCAGAAGAAAGGCCTTACAGACCTGCCTGCCCCACATAGTGACTCTTGGGAACTTTTGTATCTCAATATTCTGTGAGTTTTCAGTGAGCTGGTATAATGTTGTTGAACTAACTACTTTTGCTACAGTTTTATCTCTGGAGTTTCTGATCATCCCTCCCATTATTAATCCCATTATTTATGGCCTGAATCTGCCTCAGATCAGAGCAGTAAGTTCTGGATTTCTAAGGGCAGGCAAAAGGCTTTGTCTTACATAATTCAAAAACCCAAGCAGAGAGAGAAGTTAATGAAGCCTTAATTCTATTATTAATATTTTCTTCTTCTAGAATATTGTAACAGTTTTATCTCTACAGATATTTTGTTCACATTTGTTTTAAACAAATCAGAATAAATTTGAAGAATAATATACCTACCTTTACTGACACTTGGAATCCATCTCTAACCTCTTTTGAGGTGAGGCAGAGGCCACACACATTCCCACAAACTCCTAAAAATATAACAAGCTGCTTTTTACTTCATTATTGTTACTGTTATTAGTCCTCATTGTCCATGCTTTTGTTTTGAGTTTCATACCTATCAATCAAAACAAATTAACTGAGAATATTACCTACCCCCCCCTTCTCTTTTCCTCTTCCCTCTCTTTCTAGTCATTTACTGATCTGTTAATTTCATTTATTTTTGTTTTATGAATGTGTTTACCTTCATAACTGAGTGTATATATAAGTATGTGAATGGAAAAGTATATAGTATATAATTGATATTGCTTTATTGCTTTTTTCTTCTTTATTTTATTACTACAATCATTAATTTTTTATCAAACTGTCTTTTCATTCCTTTACATTTATACCCCCTCCATTTTCCTAATTTATTTGGTTTAATTCTATTTTCCCTTATTGTAATGAACATCAGTCTGCATAAACTTGGATACACACATTACACACTTTCACACACATAACTTAATACCCTCAGTTAATAATCCCTTTGCCTCTTTTGGTAATGTCTGTTGTCTCATGAACTATGTTATGTGCTTTGCCCTATAAATGTGTTATTTTGTGTTGCAATAAAAAAAATTAATTAGATTTGAAGAAATTAGATGCTACCAGAAAATAAAACACCCTGCACCAAATTAGTTAGTTAATGATTTATTGTTTTAGTGTCACAGCTATATTTCAGATTTCAGGTTATATTTCAGATACTCATATTTAAAGTATACGAATAGATGAATCATTTGAAAATATTTGTACTGTTGTTTTGGTGGTTTCACAGTTTTTAGCTCATTTTTAGTTTAGCTTTTTAGTTCACTGTATGGTTCAGTGTAATCTCCCAACTTGGCTTCCAGCAGCAGAAGAAGCTGTTTTTACCACACAAGACAGGGCCTCAGGGCTGAGTAATTACACAAACACTTCAAGGCTCTTCTTTTAATTTAGATTATGTATAAGTGGCAAAAGCCAAAACCTTTGGGCTTTGTTAAAACATTTTGCCTTAACTAATGCATCAAAAGTGACAAAAACAAGGCTCAAGTAAATATAACATGTTAACCAGTGTTTGGTGTTGTCTGTTTTGAATTTATATCATTATTTGTAATCTTAATTTTCTGAAAGTGCATTAACATTTAGAGAGGCAGATTTTTCACAAGCGGAAACACAAACCAACAGTAGTTGTCTCAAGGTCTCTTAGCTAGGATACATGTAGTATAGTGATTTTCTGTGCAGCACACTCAAAGCGCTTTCACACTATTTAGTCAGTTACCCATTCTCACTTCCAAGCACTCACACATTCACACACCAGTGACTTCACAGGGAACTTGGGGTTTAGGGTCTTGCTCAAGGCCACTTTGACATGTGGACTGGACAAGCTGGGAATCAAACTGGTAATCTTTTGCTTGATTTGTTTTTAAAGTTCTAAATGGCTTTGCTGCTCTTTCTTGATGAACAGAATTTTTTACTCCCTCGTGCATGACCGAGTGCTCATGTCATGTAGCCGGCTCCTCATCACGGTCCACAGGTCTCGGCATAGACGATCGGGTAGCCATGCTTTTACTGTGGCTGCTCCTAAACCGTGGAACAGTTCGCACTATTACCGACTTGGCAATTTTTACATCTAAAGACTTTTCTTTTTTACATTAACCTTTAGTTCTTGGTTGAGCTTCGACATCCTTTAGTTGCATTTGTTTGTTCTTTTATTTTGTATTGTGTATTTGAGCTTTTAGATATATGGGCACAGTGTTTGAGAAGGTGGTAATGTGAGCGATACAATAGGAAGCCTACTAACCTAATGGAGGTGAGAATGTGTGCACGTGTATGCGCATACACCTCATGCGGTATAAGGGCTGGGTGTGCACCAGGCACTCATAAATCTGCAGAGACAGCAAGACAGGATATCATGACTTTAGAGCTAGATGCTGTGTTTGTTTCCGTGCACACATAGTGAATCAAGTAGTGCCTTCAACAGGGCCCACAGCCACGGCACACTCAGTAGTTCACATAGGAGCTGAGTAACCTTTCTGCTGACAGCTTGACCGATGTCCACCACACCTGACAGCACCTCACCGACACCTGCACACACACATAGCCAAGAAAAAAAAAGAGAAAGTAACAAAGATGTGCAGTAAGGAACATTAACCACTGCGGTGTTCTGGCTTTATGGATGCACACTGATCCAGACTGAAATGTCTCAGCAACTACTGGATGGAACACAGTGAAATCTGAGTCAGACATATGCTCCTCTGGTGAGAACTCTTAATGGCCAACATTTCAAAATTCCTTTTGTGTGCTTCAGTTAATGACAGAAGCTCCAGTATCCTTAAGAAGTAAGGATTTGAAATAAGGTTACGTTGTTGGACAAGTGCTAGGCAGGAAGTAGTGTGTGCAGCGTCCCATCACAGACTTGTGATTCATTATTGATTTATACATATATAAATATATTTTACTGTATAACCTGTATTGTAAGACTGTGTACTTGTTATAATTTTGATCTCTCCCTAATCTTGACAATAAGGAGATACAGTGGAAAGAATTTTAGAACCGGTGGCATTGAATTTTTTGTTTTTTCTATTGAACATAATAAACTCTGTCACAAAAAATTAAAGTAGCAAAGCATGTTGTCTGTTGTGTCACAGCAGATGCTTGCATTTGGAAGTTTCTACTGAGCAGATGGCGAAAATCTGATTCCTGAGGAGGCCTGCCCCCTGAGAGACAATACCACCATCAAAATTAGGGTTTATATTAAACTCAAATTAATCCCAGGTCAGGATTTAGGATAAGGATAATCACCTTTATTGGCCAAGTATGTTACACACAAGGAATTTGTTTCTGGTACAGAACCGATGGCAGCCATCTGCGGCGCCACCTCAACCGACGGCTCTAACCATCGGGGGCAACGGGGGTGTTCAGTGTCTTGCCCAAGGACACTTCGACACATGGACTGCTGGCACCGAAATTCAAACCTTCAACCTTCTGGTTGGGAGACGACTGCTCTACCCACCCTACTCGCCTCCCGCGACCGAGATGAAGTAATGATTTCAGTGAAGGTGAACAGAGGTCAATGAGGCTCTAATGGACACTGACACAGCGATTTGTGTGTTTCTCACCATCCTCATGGTGATCATCCAGGCTCACCTAAGAGCAAAGAAAAACCCTATCATTATTATTATTATTATTATTATCAAGATAACTGGTGTTGTTGCCGGAGTGTACTGGGTATACTGTGTTGTTGGGACTGTGTTTAATTGCTCTCAAAGGACAAAAGACATAATGACCTGTTGACCACCTCTGGGAATCACAGTAAAAATTCTCTGGTGTTAAGAGCCACAGTCATTAAGAGTGTTTGTAATAAGTTTGAGTCACTGTGTCAGTTCTGGCTGATTACACAGCTAAAAGGTATTTACTAAGAGGAATGTCCCATGAGGCCTGCTCACTGTGACCACTGGGTCATAATTTGCTGTTTGCAGAGGGGCCGTAGTCAGGCCTGTGCCGAACACACACGGGAGGTGGCCACAGTAGAGGACACTAATGACACTCACTACAGTATCCTTGCATCAGCGTTGGACCTTTTGTATGAGGTCAGGTCAGTTTTAGTTACATAAAATGTCACTAATTTGCCATAAGGGGTAATGGTGACTATGCCTAAACGCATTGCATCATAATGGCCAAAATTAGCCACAGAAGACCCCTTATTGTCAAACACCTTGACTGGCAGCTCGCTGGCGTCATTAAGTGTGTGTGAAGGAGGCAAAATATGAAAAAGATATACATTTACTCAAGTACTGAATTTAAGTACAGTTGTGAGAGTCTTGTACTTTGAGTATGTCCATTCTCTGATAGTTTATCCTGCCTTATACTGCCATTCACTACATTTCAGACTGAAGTACAGTTCTTTTTATGGTGTATTATATGGACAAAAGTAAGAGGAGCTATGGTGCTATATGAGGATGTCAGGAGTGACAGAGAAGTACATCAGAGTATGACAGTAGTGAGATGTGCTGTAGGTCAGACAGAGGAGTTCAAGGTGGAGGTGGGGCTACATCAAGGATCGGCTTTGAGTCCCTTGTTTGCTATGGTGATGGACAGGTTGACAGATGAGGTCAGACAGGAATCTCCGTGGACAATGATGTTTGCAGATGACATTGTGATCTGTAGTGAGAGCAGAGCAGGTGGAGGAACACCTGGAAAGGTGGAGGTCTGCTCTGGAAAGAAGAGGAATGAAAGTCAGTCGTAGTAAGACAGAATACATGTGTATGAACGAGAGGGAGGGAAATAGAACAGTGAGGTTACAGGGGGCTGAGGTCAAGAAGGTGCAGGAGTTTAAGTATTTGGGGTCAACAGTCCAGTGTGACAGGGAGTGTGGAAAAGAGGTGAAGAGGCGAGTGCAGGCAGGTTGGAGCGGGTGGAGAAAAGTGTCAGTAGTGTTGTGTGACAGAAGAGTGGCAGCAAGAATCAAAGGAAAGGTGTACAAGACAGTAGTGAGACCAGCTATGGTGTATGGGTTAGAGACTGCAGCAGTGAGGAAAAGACAAGAGGCAGAGATGGAGGTAGCAGAGATGAGGATGTTGAGGTTCTCTTTAGGAGTGACCAGGATGGACAGGATTAGGAATGAGCACATCAGAGAATCACCAAGAATCAAAGGAAAGGTGTACAAGACAGTAGTGAGACCAGCTATGCTGTATGGGTTAGAGACTGTAGCAGTGAGGAAAAGACAAGAGGCAGAGATGGAGGTAGCAGAGATGAGGATGTTGAGGTTCTCTTTAGGAGTGAGCAGGATGGACAGAATTAGGAATGAGCACATCAGAGGGACAGCACAGGTGGGTTGTTTTGGGGACAAGGTCAGAGAGGCCAGATTGAGATGGTTTGGACATGTGCAGGGGAGGGATAGTGGTTATATTGGTAGAAGGATGTTGGAGATGGAGCTGCCAGGCAAGAGGTCAAGAGGAAGGCCAAAGAGGAGATATATGGATGTGCTAAAAGAGGACATGAAGTTAAATGGGGCAAGAGTAGAGGTTGCCAAGGATAGAGTTAGGTGTAAACAGATGATTCACTGTGGTGACCCCTAACGGGGACAGCCGCAGGTAGGAGAAGAAGATATGGATAAAAGTAAGACCTCACTGATCCCTTCGTAAAGGCGACAAATTACCCATCAGAATAAAATGGATAGCAATGGAGTTTATTTCGAATGTCACATGACCAAACCAGAAAATGGGTCTCATCACATCCACTTTGTTGGCAGTAACAGTTGACACTTTATTCAATTTGTGTCAGGTTTGCTCTGACACCCCTGCCTCTCCTCCCTCTCTTTCTCTCTCTGTCTCTCCTCTCTGCAGGCTCTCTGTCCGGGGTGTGGCACACGGCTGTGCTGAGTTACACAGCTGAGACTAATTGCTTCATCATCAACCTCCTATTTAAGACTCTGGCAGATGCTCCTCCAGTGCCAGTATGTTGAGGATTACTTCAACGACACTTTGGCTCTCCCTGTTGACTATTCTGAAACTACTACTGCTTTCTGCCCCTGCAGCTCTTCACGTCTCTCCAGCTTCCTAGCCATGCCATCCCTGTTCTTCTACCTCCGAGTGCTCCAACAACACTTGCCTCATCTCTCCTGGCTGACATCTTCCCCCCCTGCTCTCAGGTCAGTCAGCATAAGCTACTACCAGCTGTAATCATCCTCTCCTGTCCTCTCTGCTGCAAGAGCTTGCTCAGACAGCAAAACCTAACTCCTCTCAATGGACTGCCCTGTGAATTCTCTTCCCTGACGAACCTACTCATCCCCAGTCTCAGCACCTCATTGGACCTCTTCTCAAAGACTATCACTATTTTCCCGCTATTTTTGCTTCTAATAAAATCTCATGTTGGAACTGTGCATCTGCCTCCTGAGTCCCACCTGCTTGCTCACCTCAGTCCTGCAAGTGAGCGATCATAACAATTTGTTAGTTATTTAGTTGGAAGTTTAACATTACAACTTAAATAATTTTATTTGTTTCACTTGCTCTCTTGCATGACATAGGCTTTACTGATGATTGGATCTTCAAGCACTCACAAAAATATGACATTGTAAATTTCAGTCAGATTATACAAATATTCTTTTTCCTCTCTTGGAGAAACAAAAAAACTGGTGGAGTGTCATTCCGGTGTATAAGGCTATCCCTAATCAGGACTACTACCATTAGCATACAGGTTACATACCCTCATAGTCGCAGATGTATGATGTAGCACATAACACATAATTATCCTTATCCACCTCGGTGTCAGGAGTCTTAAACATTGTCCTGCAGATTTGATGGATATCGATAAATCAGTACTTCATTCAATAGTTCAGCACAGGACTTTTAACAGAGTATTTCTACACACTGAAAATAGCCGTGCTATAAAATAAAAAAATAAAATAAAAGCAAGGATATCATGATTCTGCCCCACTGCTTCCAGTCTCATGCTTTTATTTTGACATCACTTCCTGTTATAGTCTCATATAACTCTTACAAAATGAGCTGCAGGAGACTACTGAACAAATCGTCTCCTTGCAGTTAGAAGTTACAGAAGAGGAGAAGGAAGGGCTACTATAAATGTGGGAATGGCCACTAAATAATGAAGGAGAATGCCAGCAGATGACAGACAAGCCAGAAGAGGATGAGAATGAGATGCCTGAGCTAGAAGGAACTGCACCGGGGACAGAGAATGTGTGGAGTGGATGCAAAGCTTGTACTCCCCTAGTCCTATGGAACCAGCAGACTTCTGCCAGGAAGAAATGGAGGAAAATGCAGACTATCTGGTGGTGGATGAGTGGAAATTGAGGTTGAGAAAAAGGAGGAAAAGAAGGAAGAGAATGGGAAAAGGAGTTGGAAACTAGAAAGGAGTGGGTGAATGCAGAATACATGGTGGATGATACAGGAGAGGCCAAACTGGACCCGGAGGGGAAACAGAAGAATCGGCAAGAGAGGCTGGAGGAGAGAGAAAAAAATATTAAAATGGTATGGCAGAATGCATAAAATAGAAAGTTAAGCTTTTAATAAGTGAGGATAATCATGTGTGTGTTTTGTTTGAAATAATCATTAGTCAATGTGTAAGAATAAAATGAGAAATGATTGTATTAGAAAAACAATAGAAGTGATTTTACATCCAATCTAATCTAAGGAGTAAAAAAATTCTGACTCACAGAGAAAAAGGGAAGCAACACACATCCCTGCAAAGAGGAAGTGCAAAAAGTGCAAAGTGTGTGTATGTGACAGAGAAAGCGACAGGGGTTATTAAGAAATTAGAAATGATGGTTTTGAGCCTAAAAGTAAAGATTTGGAGAGCAGGAAGGCACCGAGGGACAATGGAACTGTGCCAAAGCCTCATGATTCAGCATGAGAAAACTCTAAATTCCTGTTTAAAAGATGACTTACGGAGGAAGAGAAGAAAAACCACCAATAGAGCCACTATGGAGAGTGGGATGATGGCGAGGGACGATTTACTGTGCCAAAGCCTCATGATTCAGCAAGAGGAAACTCTGAATTCTAGTTTAAAAGATGATAATCTGAGATGAAGACTTTTTGACAGAAAGCCACAATCCAACAAACTCAAACCAACTGAAGACTGGTGATTGTGAGCAAACCCTTTGACTTTTATTCAGTGTCTTGAGAGCTCAACCATAATAATTTTAATCAGTATGATCATTTTAGATTGATGTTTAGAAATGGTAGTTGCTGATTTATTTAGATTATAAGCCAATCAAGACAATTATTGATGATTTTAAGGTTTATATCTTATTGCTTGCTGCTTTGCTGTAACTGTTTTAAGCTTCTATATAAAATTCCTGAAAAGGTTTAATACTGTGTGTTTATTCAGTCAAGTTTTGATGTTATTAATTCTTGTGATTTTAGTGGGTTTACACTTGTACACACACGTGGTAATGTTCAAGGCTGTTTAAGACTATAATGTAAATAGTTTAAATGCAGCTTCCTGAAAAGGGACTCAGTGATGATTGAAATTGACAATTTTCAGAAAGTCATTTAAAAACAATCTAAATAAACTAGTCAATTGTTTACATTGTTTATATTACACACATTATAATTCAGATGCCCTATCTTAGAACACAACTTGATAATGAGTTTAACCATATTGTTCAACAATCAACAGTGTTAATAATATGCCAACCTTCTCAACAGTGTCTCAGAGAGTTAAAACAGGCAGTAGCAACCTAGCGGTGATAACAAGCTGCCTGGCTGCGGAAACCTAACGATGACAACAGAAAGCAGTACTTCTCTGATTGGGCTTGTTGCCTGGGTGAATTCCATACAAACCAGCTGGCTGTTGAGAGGGGAGGTGATGCTTAGAAAGTTATATCACAAAATATTTCATATAAAATATCCGGCTGTTTACTTATTACATAATATACACTATCCTTTAATTTTACTATCCTTAATAACATCTTACATCAACTAAATACTATGCAAAACAAATATGGTCTTAAGTGGCCAGTGTCAGGGTTTTTATTGGTTATATTTATTTAAATTTTTTATCTCGCTTCCTAGTGCACATTCCTTTGTTTGTTTACACATTACTTCTTTACTTTCTGTTCTCTCAGCCTTATATTGTTTACATGCTCTTTGCTATTGCCATACATAAGGATATGTACAAACATATACCTAAACCTCACTCTCCCTGGTTGTCAATCAATGAATCTATAGCATTAATGCACGCAAAAACTCTCCTCCTCTCAAAAAACCCACCAAGTGTAGAGGGATTGAGCCCGTTTATAAGCATGGTGAGTTTGATAACCATGCCTTACCGCCACACCGTATTCTAAACCGGCACGACACATTGTCGATAAGCGCATGACATCATGAAGCGTCATTTGGGGAGTCACGTGATATCTCGCTTGGTGAAATGAGGCATCGAAACATCTTACTGTAATACTTCTGCTTTGAAAGACTGATACTGTGTTGAGCCATCTGCCTCGAGTGTAACATCACTAGAGATCACCACACCCCGTTGGTATCTTTTCCTTCACTTTCTGTTCTATTTGGACTCTTGTAAGTTGTGATTTTTCCCCTGCTTCATCTGTGGATTCTGTGTTTTGATCATTATTAGTTTGGCTCCCTGGTTTTTGTGTTTATTGCGCCCTGACAGTTTTGTTATGTTTTTCTTTACCTGTCTATACTGCACTGTCAGGTTGAGCATCTGTTTACCTCTTTTTTCCTTGTATTTCTTAGTTATTTTAAATTACTTTGAATCCTAGTCTCCTTTCTGGGTCTGCATATTTGGCTCCTTCCATGCCTGAAACTTAACAGCTAATTACAAATAAAGAAGTCTTTCTCTGTATAGCTCACTATAATCAATTCTGTCGTTTTCAGTTAATAATATAGAAAGTTCAGTCTAGTCAGGGCCAGATGGTAGTGGAGGTGAGACTGGTGTGCTAGCTGGGGTAAACTCTTCTTTAGCTAAAGCTAGCTTTTCTCATACTTGCTAACAACAATGCAGAAGAAACCAAAAATAATCAAATCTTTTGATTATCTGTATTCATGCACTTCTGCATGCCCACCAAGAATTATATAAGTTACACTGAATTTGTGATCCATCAAGCTTTTCACACCCAAAATGTTAATCATTCATGCAGGCAGATAACATAGGCACTAATTGAAAATACCTGAAAAAACAAGTCTCACTTTGAGGATTGCAGCAATGCAGAATTATTTTATTAGTCCAATAAAATAAGTAAAGCAAAGGGGATTGAAGTAACATTTTCTGGACTGAATTGTAGGACTAACATGTTTGATTGGATTTCTCCTAGTGAACTTTACATAAATAAATACTGTGCCGAGTACAATCTGGAAGTCCCAAAGTCAAAATGGGATACACCTCCAAAGGTGGTTGAGAATGACCAATGATCCTGTGGGTGCTTCAAGATACAAACTGACAAACTGGTAATGGCCAACCAACCGGACATAGTAGTGGTGGACAAACAGAAGAAGAAGGCCGTACTGATAGATGTAGCAATCCCAAGCAATAGCAACATCAGAAAGAAGGAACATGAGAAGCTCGAGAAATACCAAGGGCTCAGCTAGAAAAGATGTGGAAGGTGAAGGCACAAGTGGTCCCCTTGGTAATAGGAACATTGGGGGCTGTGACCCCCAAACTAGGAGAGTAGCTTCAACAGATCCCAGGAACAACATCTGAGATCTCTGTCAAGACGAGTGTAGTTCTAGGAACAGCCAAGAGAGTCCAAGATACTGCGCAGGACCCTCAAGCTCCCAAGCCTCTGGTAGAGGACCCAAGCTTGAAGGAAGAAATAAAAGACCGTCCCGAAGTGGCGGGCGGGTGGGGGATTTTTTTTATATACACATATATTGTGGCTGTGAAGGAAGACCATATACCTATGGAGGCCACGGACTGCCTCCCACAGTCCTCAAAGAGGAGCCCCTCTGGGGACCCTGCAGGCTTGGCCTGTGGGAGTGAGAAACATGCCAACGAGGGAGAGAGAGCCCCTTTTCTGGGTGCTTGGACACAGGCATTCAGCCTGTGGGAGTGAGATGCATGCCAATGAGGGAGCAACCTTTTCTGGGTGCTTGGACAGGCATTCGGCCTGTCAGAGCAGGAGGATGCATGCCGACGTGGGACGATGAAACTGGCAGAGCCTCACAGTAGGGAAACTGAATTCCTGCTTCAAAGATGATTGATGAAGAAATGAAGAATTTTAACAAAAAGCCACAATCCACCCGGCCTGGTGGGGAAAGGATGGCTTGAAAAGAAGACATTTGTAGACATTTTCATGCCTTTATGAAGATTTGGACCAAAAGGAGACTGTTTATAGACCAAAAAAAACATTGTTTATCTGAATTTGTCCTATTTCTCTCTTTGAGAGTTTTGAGGATTGAACCGGATGAGCTTTGATATTTTTGTTTGTAAATTCTTTTCACTTGTGAAAGCTTGAATCATGGCGAAAAGGAAAAAGAGGAACAAGCATCGCCCAATCGGCCGCCACCCACCCAGAGCCAGCTGAGGATCGGTGACGTGAGACTTTTGACTTTTATTCAGATCAAGAGCTTAGCTTAACCATAATGATTTAATCAGTATGATCATTTTAAATTTATGTTTAGAATTAATAGTTGTTTATTTAGATTGCAAGCTGATTATTGATGATTTTAAGGTTTATATTTTATTGCCTGTTGCTTTGCTATAGCTTTGTTAAGCTTGTATATAAAATTCCTGAAAAGATTTAATACTCTCTGTGGTTATTGAGTCAAGTTTGATGCTATTGACATTCATATGATTTTAGTGAGTTTGCACTTTTAAGTGGTAATGGTTAAGACACACATTTCTCAGTGTTTGGTTACCCAATTCCCAGTGAGTGGAATTACCTAAGTGTTATTGAGTGTGTGAGGTTGCATAACAGTTCACAGGGTTGACAGAAGGCCCAGCTTGAACTGTTAAAATGATTTTTAGGCAGATACATCAGAAAAGGGTTTATTTAAAATATCCAACTATTTACTTATTACATAATGTACACTATTCTTTAAATATCTTATACTGGGTTTTGCTTTGATGATGCTGATTCTAAGAATTTTAGTGGGTTTACACTCCATCCATCCATCCATCCATCCATCCATTTTCCTCTGCTTACCGGAACCGGGTCGCGGGGGCAGCAGTCTAAGCAAAGATGCCCAGACTTCCCTTTCTCCAGACACTTCCTCCAGCTCCTCC